TTAAGTCAACAGAGGGCAGTGGCACAAGCCTATAATCCCAATAACTTAGGAAGCTGAAGCAAAAGGATCCAAGTTCAAAGCCAGGCTCAGAGACTTAGTGAGACCCTGTCACAAAAAAGGGGGGGGGGGGCCTAGGAATGTGGCTCAGTGATTAAGCACCCCTGGGTTTAATTCCAGGTACCAAAAAAAAAGCCTTGGTCATTTCCATAATCTATAAAGTACCGTTTCACAAGTAAAAACATTAATAAGGGGCTGGGATTGTGGCTCACTGTGTGTGTGAGGCCCTGGGTTCAATCCTCAGCACCACAAATAAATAAATAAATAAATAAACAAACATAAATAAATAAAATAAGGGTATTGTGTCCAACTACAACTAAAAAGTAAATATAAATAAGCTCAAACTTCAATATTATCTATTTTACTCCACTTCCTTGTTGTCATCAAGCTCTTAAATAAATGGAAAACATATATGGATGAGAAGAACAAGCCCTGAGGGTTGTTTTGTTCTTAAGAGGGTGTAACACCCATAAAGAACCAATGCAGCTGGGAGTAGTAGCCGCATTCTTGTAATTCTAGCTACTCATAGGAGGCTCAGGCAGTAGGATCACAAATTGGAGGCCAGCCTCAGCAATCAGTGAACCCCTCAACAATTCAACAAAAAACAAAAAGGTCTAGGGTGGTAGCTCAGTGATAAAGCACCCCTGGGTTCAATCCCCTTTACAAAAATATATATATATATTAGAAATTTTACCATGAATGAAAAGAAAAAGACTATCATACAACTATTTTAAAACAAAATATCTACTTAACATCAGCTAAAGGGAAAAAACAGATTAAATTATAGCCTTAAGAATTTCTGGATAATACTATTAAAAATAATAAAACCAATGAGAACAAACAATTCAAATATCTAAATCATATGATTTTTAAAAATTGACATAGCATTTTCCAAAAGAAAGAACAGTAGTATAATTTTTTAAATGAACTCACCCTGAAATAAGTGAAATTACTAGCTGCTGAATAAATGTCACTCAAAAGCAGTCTCTTGGCTTTTTCTTACACAGCGTGCAACTTTCCTTTTAAATTCTCCATTTCTGTCTTCCCTCCATTCTTTCTGTAGGTAGAAAAGTAACATCAAATGATTTTATGTAAACTTTTCCTTGTAATCTCAAATAATCATTTTAACTTTGAATATAATCCTTTGGTAGTTTGAATACTTTAAAAAAGTTTAACAAGGCAGAAAACAGTCAAAAAAGTATTTTTGTAAGGTATTTTGTTGGAATATACAAATAGAAACATTTTCTGCTAATTACCCTTACAAGAAAATTTCTCTTTTAAAAAAGAAAAGACCACAAAAAATAATAGCTATGGTTTTATGTTACACTAGAAAGAAAGCTACAATTTACAAAAAAAGACATTCAAGCTATGTGAAGGATTACTAAATTTCCTTACTTGAAAATAACCAGAAAACAAAGTCAACATAAAACTATCTTGTATCTTTAAAGTAGATAGGTGAGATGCATTACACTGAAATGATAGTGAGTACTAGTAGGTAGAAAGTAGGGGTAGAAAGTACGGGTAAACAGATAACTTATCAATCATGAACACATAAGACCACCAACACAGTTCCAATGAGAAAAGAGGTGATTTCATTTAGCATAAAAGTAACAGAAATGTGCTCAAAAATGCTCAACCTGTTTCTTTTTCTTTGCATATCATCAATTTAGGAACAGCAAAGACTATGGAAATCATCAATCCTTGCCTTTACAAAGGAAGAAATTTTAAAAAGAAAAAAAGGGGGAGAGGTAGTTTCCCCTCAAAGCAAGACACACCAATAAGCAAATACACTGTGCCCCTGGGTTCAATCCCCAGCACCCACCTCCAAAACAAAAAAGGGCATTATTTAGATAAAAGATAATGCTAGGGAATCAATATGGGTATAAATTAAAACAAGTTCAAAAAAGGAAAGAATATTAAAATTGGATAAAGTCTCAAAACAATTACACATTTTTTCCAAAACATTTAAGTCTTTAATTTCAAAAGGTATATACCAACTTCAGAGGTGAAAGATTAAAGCGTTTATACAATTGTACAAAATTTCAGAAGACCCAAGAATAAAGAACTTAAAAGGAAATGGGGGTGGTTGACATCTAACAATGGAGAATCAGCCTATAATCAACTTTCCCGTCAGCAATAATTAAAACTAAAAAATTAATTCTGTCTAAATTTTGTATTTTCTTCCTAGAACTCTAAAAACAAAGTATCAATCAAGCTTTAGGGAAGGATAAAGCACCTTGAAACATGAAAGGGCTCTAGATTTAATTCCCACATATCTAAAATGTTAGGATGAAGTCCATAGGAAAAAGGAAAAGAAAAATGTGATCCAGGAAACAGAAGATCTGATCCAGAAGAGCTACAAAGGAAAAATCTAATAGAGGCAGCCAGCATGAGAGGGTGAGAGAATCAATCTAATTTGGATATAGGAATCCAGAAGAGAGCTCTCTAATCCTAACCCTAACTGTAAATATGGATCTATTGTTGCCATTTTGTTCACTGTTCTCTGGTTGTTTTATGATCCTTTCTTTCTCTTGCCAACTTCTTTGTGATTAAGTGGCTTTCTCTATTGGATTGCTTTGATTCCTTGTTTTTGTCTACTATAGGATTTTGCTTTGTAGTTACCACAAAGCTAAGAATTTTATAACAGATTATCTGAAACTGATAACTTTGATCACATTTTAAAAACTACATTTTTAATCCACACATTCCCACGCTGTATTTAATGTTTTTTTAAGTTGTCAATGGACCTTTATTTTGTTTACTTATATGTGGTGCTGAGAATAGAACCCAGTGCTCACACATGCTAGGCAAGCTCTCTACCACTAAGCCACACCCCCAGCCTGAGTCTCTGCTCTTAATATGCCTATTCCACTTAGTATCCAGTTTCTTTTTTGTGTGGTGCTGGGGATGGAATCCAAGGCCTTGAGCAGCAAGGCAAACACTAACAAATAAGCTATATCCATAGCCCGTGCAATTTTTAATATCACAAGTTACATCTTTTTATCATTTTAGCCACAATGATAAAGAATAAGTTTAAAAATCTATTTTATCTTGTGACTAAAGTTAATAATCTTAAAAACTGCTAAAGGCAGGATTTTTTAAGTGTTCGCATCACCAAAAAATGGTATGAGGTAATGCATATGTTAATTAGTTCAAAATTGCTATTTCCTGATGTAGATATATTTTAAAAGGACATAACAAGTTGAGTCTTCTTAAAAGAAAGAGTGATGGACTGAGATTGTGGCTCAGCAGTAGAGTGCTCGCCTAGCACAGGCGGGACCCAGGCTCGATTCTCAGCACCACATAAAAATAAAGGCATTGTGTTGTGTCCATCTACACCTAAAAAATAAATATTAAAAAAGAAAGAAAGAAAGAGTGACAGGTTGAAGGTACAGTTCAGTAGTAGAAATCTTGCCTAGCACCCTAGGTTCTGTCCCAAAAGAGGCGGGTGGGAAAGATGGAAGAGGGAGGACAGAAGGATGTGAACACCTTACCGCAGCATCAACATTAGCAGGTGAATCTCCATTAGGGTCTGCCAGCATAGAAATGACACTAATCATGATGGTTTCCACAGTGTGGATAGGAAGCCAGCGTTCCTCTGGCTTTTCATAACCATATTTATCCTCCCCAGGCTCATGAAGAATAGAAATGCAAACATCACCATTTTTATCAACTGCGAAATTAGAGAATAAAACTTTGTTTAATATATCACCAATTTGGTATGACATAAAGTATCTATTACAAATATGATCCTGATCTACAATAACACCTGTATAAAACATTACCACTACACAGAAAATTTCCAAAATGGAATCTGCTAACTTTTTAAGAAAGCTGTAGATTTTACCAAACACATAGTATCAAACACACTCATAGTGTAAGCTATCTTTTTTATTTGTGTAAAGTTTTTAAGATAAACAGCATATAGATGGTGTTTAGCATTGAAATATACTTAATACAATGTAAATGAGTAGATTGCAACTACTAAATCTGTTCCTCATTTGTAGAAAGCATATGATCTAGTCTTCCCACTAACTTACTGATTTAAATTGGTGATAGTCAAAGATTTAGAATTTTTTTCGAAGAAAATGGAACTAATATAGTTATGTACTTTCAAAATCATGTAAAAGCAAAGTTATGTTCAAATGCACAAAAAGGAACTTATAACCCATGAAAATCTGTCAATATCATAATATTCATGAGATTTCTTTTCTAAAAATCATTTTAAAATTCAAACCACAAGTAATAATGAGTAAGAATAAGAGAACATTTCTAGGGGACATGTATTGACATAACTATATCTTACTTTCAAATGGTTCAGAGAAAAATAAAAAAATTAATTAACAAAAAAAAGTTGGAAGCATTAATCCACAAACCCGTTTACACAACACAAAAGTATTACCTATCTATTGGCCAAAGTAATATTTAATGGTAAAATTTTCTCTTAAAAAGGGGTGAGAGGGATAAAAAGCATACTTTAAGGGGGAAATTTTAGAAAAAGATGTTTAATTAAAATTTATTGCTGTACATTAACCAAATTTCCAAGTTCTATAAATAGTGAGTACCATATTTTTATACATTTCACTCCTAACTTCTTCCTTTGGGGGGCAGGGGGTTAGGGGCTGGAGGCTTACTAGGGATTGAATTCAGGGGCATCTAGCCACATCTCCAGCCCTATTTCTATTTTATTTAGAGACAGGGTCTCACTGAGATGCTTAGTGCCTTGCTATTGCTGAGGCTGGCTTTGAACTCTCTATCCTCCTGTCTCAGCCTCCTGAGCCACTCACTGGGATTACAGGTGTGCGCCACTGTACCTGGCTCCTAGCTGCTTCTTTATAGAACCTAATAAATTGTGAACAGTTAAAATTCTAACTCAGAATTTCCCCTCAGAACACCAGCATGGGCAATGAAAACTCTAAGGACCAGAATCAAAGTATGTATACATACAAATCAATATTATTGCTCTATTAATACTTTTTGAATGCCTACTATGTGCCAGGACCACACCACACCTGACATGGGGTACAGCCTTAGTCTTCAATGTTTAATATAAGTTTTTCTATAATTAAGATTCCCTTCCCAACCTACCCCCACCTGCTAATGGACTCTATTAACTAAAGGAATCAGTAGATCAAGAGGCAAAAATAACACCAAAAACACAAAGTTCAGCACTAAGATTTTATGAAGTATTATTTTTTAGGATTTTAAAATTTTTATTTATTTTTTGGCACCAGGGATTGAGCACAGGGGTGTTTCTACCACGGAGCTATATCCCTACCTCTACCACGTTTTATAAATTTTTTATTTTGAGACAGAGTCACACTGAGTTACTTAGGGCTTTGCTAAGTTGCTGAGGCTGGCCTTGACCTTATGATCCTCCTGCCTCAGCCTCCTGAGTTGCTAGGATTAAAGGTATTCGCCACCAGGCCCACTAGAATCTTTTAAACTTTTTACTTACTTGTGTCATGAAACACATTTTACATTTATTTAGTAAACAAATTCCCACATAATCTGAATAAAGTATTTCAAAATCTACTGTAAAGTCTCAAAAACATAGATAAACAACTCTCAGGAACAATTATTCTTCTGATAAAAAGATCTCGGTTAGAATTGTTTTCTCAAGTTTTCAGAAGTGAGGCTATTGAGTAAACTTTGAAACAAGTTTTCTGGGGCTGGGGATGTGGCTCAAGCAGTAGTGTGCTCGCCTGGCATGCGTGCAGCCCAGGTTCAATCCTCAGCACCACATACAAAACAAAAGATGTTGTGTCCGCCGAAAACTGAAAAATAAATATTAAAAATTCTCTCTCTCTCCCTCTCTCTCTTTAAAAAAAAAAAAACAAGTTTTCTATACCATTCTATGATTACTTGTGAGAATTTCTTTATTTCCACTAAATCATCTAAGCGTGTTTAATATAAATTTTAAGCAAAAGGCAATTCCTTCTTTCCTTTTCATATCAAGATATGAGGTACAGATAAGGACTTTGCTATATTTTTAAATATTTCAGGGTGTTTTTGCTGTTATCTATTTGCCTTATATTTAAATATAAGGCATATATTTCAGGCAAATGTCTTTCTACATTTCCTATAGATATCGGGTTTCAAAAGTTGAAGACAGTTTGAAATTTGAGTAAAGACTTGGACACAGTATTTACATTGTTTAGAGTATCTATGCACTATGAATTCTCCAGTGATAAGCAATGTTTGAGAAATTGCTAAAACATCTACATTAGTTTTTAACTCATATTATCCTTCCACATTACAAATTCTCCAGTGCTGAGTAGGAATGAACAACTTTAGAGACATTGTCACATTGTGTCTTTGTATAATTTCTCTCTTCTATGATTCCTGTAGTGTGCAATAAGGGTTGAACCATTTTTAAAGTCTCTGGCACAATGTTAACGTTTGTAGGGCTTCTCTCTAGTATGAATCTTCTACTGTTCAGTGAAGTGTGGTCTCTGAGTAAAATCTTTTCCACATTCTTCACACTTGAAGGTGTCATGTCATTTTAAACAGTATAAGAATAAGAAAACTTTAAGGTTGAACACCTATTACCAAATTATATTTTTAAAAGATTATATATTTTATGCAGCCATAAACAATATGAAGTGACCCTTATCACTGCCTCCTCACTCAGGATTAACAGTTTTATAACATCTAATAAATAATTAGCTTTTCCAAAACAACTTTCCACATAAACAGACATTTTGAAAAATGTCTGTTCTTATCCTTTAGCCAGTTATGTGGTCGAGTGTGTAGATTTATCTTTACAAAATGCTTCTCAATTTACCCCTAAATAATTTGTGTTTTTCTCCCTGGTACTAGGGGTTCAACCCAAGGCCTTGTACCTGCTGGAGGGAAGCACTCTACCATTGAGCTACATCCATTTTTGAAAATTTTTTATTTTTATTGTGAGACAGGGTTTCACTAAAATTACCCAGGCTGGCCTCAAACTTGCAATCCTCCTACCTTACCTTTCCAATGATCTGGAATTATAGCATGTACCACCATGCCTAGCTCCCGTGTATAATTTTTAATTTTTGCTTCTTTTTCGTTTCATCTCAATGTACTTTAGAGCTATTCTTCATTTCTGATAGAAGATTCAGTGAAGAATTCTATATTCTATCATTTCCTTTTAGTCTCTCTCTCCCTGTCTCCCTCAGTATTTTCAATGTTTATTTTTGAAGCTAGAGAGTTCTTGTTCCCAACATATACCAAATAGATGATAATGACTGCTTTTTAAATCAATCAATCAATCACTTGTACAGCTGGGCACAGTGGCGCACTCCTGTAATCCCAGCAAATTTGAGGTCAGCCTTGGCAATTTAGTGAAACTCTGCCTCAAAAAATAAAAAGTGCTAGGGATATGGCTCAGTGATAGAGTGCCCCTAGGTTCAATCACCAGTACAATAAATCATAACTTTAAAAAATAAAATCACTTGTGACTTTTTATTCCATTTATCTTCAATTCACTTTACTGTTTGGTTATGAAAATTAAAATTGTTTCTCCATAAATAGCTAGCCATTAGTCTTTCATCAATAATTGAAAAACACTTCTCTTTCAGCGTAAAACTAAAATCTCTGAACAATGCGTTCTAATTATATACCCTTTCTTGAGAATACAGATCCAAAACTGCGAAAAACTGACACTGAAATGAATCTGACGTAATTTTCCCACGTACCTGTGAAAACAACAGTGAATATCCCACCACATCATGTACATCCATAAGAATGGAATCCTAACTAAAATAAGATATTCCATGTTCATGTAATTATATCAGAATAAAAAGAACCAATAATTTAAATTTAAAAAAAAAAATTAAAACAAAACACAAAATTTTAAAAACTGGCTTGCCCTCATTTTCGCCACTTACTCACTACTTGGGTACTCTTTTATACCTTATGAAAACTGGCTTCTGCTGCCTATCGGGATACTAACGTTATTTTCAAAAAATGATCTGGATAACATATAGGAACTTCAATCTAAGTCAACCCTTCTGGCCCAACACAAATGATACTTGACAGCATCTTCCTGGATATATTTTCCTCCCTTGGCTTCCATGTCAATTCTTTCCTCTTGATTCTTCAACTCCACTTTCTCTTAGCTTCTCCTTTCCTCCCCCCACCCCTTTTTTTTTTTTTTTTTGATACCTGAGACTGAACCCAGAGGGGCTTTAGCACTGAGCCACATTGCCAGCCCCTTTTAATATTTTTTATTTAGAGACAAGGTTAGGGCCTTGCTAAATTGGCTAGGCTGGCTTTGAACTCATGATCCTCCTACCTGAGCCTCCTGAGCCACTGGGATTACAGACATGTGCCACCACAACCAGCCCGAGTTTTCCCCTTCTTTAACACGACTTTTGACATTATCCTAATCTCTAACATTTAATAACTGTTTCTCTGGGTAAATTAATTCATTCAGTAGATCATACTGTTATCTGTCATCCTGAGGCAATAACTTCCAAGGCCCTAGATTCACTACTGAACCCTAGTTTTATCTAATTATCTATCTGAACATATCAGTGTATCTGGGGGGGGGGGAACAAAATTGAATGCATCTAAGCCACTCAAAAGTATTATTTATCCTATAATAATTTTGTAATACCTTTACTGAGATATAATTCACCTGTTCCAAATATACAATATAATGGTTTCTACCTACTGTATTTACAATTGTACAACCACCACCAGGGTCAATTTTAGAATATTTTCATCATCCCAAAAGACATCCCATACCCAACTTGTAATAACTCCTTATTTCCACCCAAACACCCCTCCAGCTCTAGGCAACTACTGATCTATTTTTGGCCCTACAGATTCTAATTATTACATATAAATGGAATCACTGTGGTATTTTTTAAAACTGGCTTTGTTCATTTAACATCATGTTTACAAGGTTTATCCATGTTGTCACTTGTATTAGTACTTTATTTCTTTTTATTTGACAAATAATAATCTATTACACAGATATAATGCCACATTTTATTTTTCCATTCATCAATTGACAGGTATTTGGGTTGTTTCTAATTTGGGGTTAATAAATTTTGCTAAGAACATTCTTGAAGGAGATTTGGGAGGCACATGTTTTTAATTTTCTTAGCTATCTACCTAGGAGTAGAAAAGAACTGCTGGTTCATAATGATAACTATGCTTAACCTTCTAAGGATCTGCTAACTATTTTCCAAACATCCGCACCACTTTTACATTCTTCTGTTTCATTATTAATACGTGTTATTATTATTTTTACTACAGCCATCCTTATGGGCAAAAGTGGTTATCTCATTATGATTCTCATTCTATAATTACTTTCTGAAATGGCTAGTCCAATCCTAAATTATTATGTCTTTATTTCCACTCATATCTGGTAATCAACAAGTGAAAAGAACTAACTCATCCTTTTTGATACTATTTTTGGTTCAAGCTTTTACTGTTTCTTACTCTGATACTGATATGTCTGTCTGGCTTCTTTTTCCAATCTTCTACTAGTCTAAGCTTTCTGGAAGGAAAATATAATCATGATGAACCCATGGAACAACTTTAAACTCATCAATTTAATGAAACTCTACAGCCTGCAGAATAATGTTCAAGTCAGGCATATTCAACATTCAAAATTCCATTCAAGAACATATCTAGAATCCTTGACTCCCTCCTTTTCAGCTTCCAGAAAAAAATGGATACCTATATCACTATCACCTCACAGCTTCACCATTCTGCTTAATGCGCACCTCTTCCGCAGAGACCACTACATCTTATGGGAAGTATAGCTGAGAAAACATCGCTGTACTCCCAGTGCTTTCCAGATATTCAAGATTCTTTAACTATCTTGCTTGCCCCAGTTTTTCTCTTTTCCATTTGAGAATGACTTTTCACTCCGTCCTATAGCTAATTCTTTCTGTAGCTGCCATCCCTGCCCCATCACTTCCTCAGGTATCCTTTCTTCACTAACTATCCTTTCTCCAATAAAATTTTGATTATTTCCTTCTCTAAAGCCTGTCTCTACAAAATGAAAAGTCTCCTTTAAAAAATTTTTTTAAAAAAACAACATCAATTTTCCTCCCAAACTTGTGATGCTATCCTCCCTCCTGACAGAAAGGAAGTTTCATTATTTTGCTTACATATATGCACTTATTTAATTTTTGCAGAGAAAGTAAGATTCATAGAGGTTTTGCCTAGAGTCACACAGCTAATTTGTAGTGTAGCAAAATTGAGAAACTTTGTTGGACCTTCTTTCAAAGCAAGCCCAAGAAGAATGCCTATTACATATATCAAGTAATCCAAGTGAAAGCAGAAGAAATTGCACTGCCCAAAGTCCAGAAAAAGATCAAAGAAATGTCACGAAGTACATCACCAAATCAAGTATCCAGGAATCAGGCAGGACTATCATTAATGCCTTCTGTCATTATTAACTAGAGATAATTACTTTTATCTTCTTCTTCTATTTTTTTGGTGGTGGGGATTGAACCCAGGGCCTTGTACTTGCAAGACAAGCACTCTACCAACTGAGCTATACCCCTAGCCCAGAGATACTACTTTTATGACTTTGCTATCTTAAGATGTAATAAAATATAGTAGTTCCAGTTTTCTATTTGACTGTTCCAGTCTCTCATCATACATATATATATGTGTGTGTGTGTATGTATATATATATATATATATATATTTTTTTTTTTAAAGCCTTGATACCCCTTTTGCTTAGGATAAATCCTTATTTAATTTGTTCATTCATTCCATCATTCCTCTCACTGACTCTTGTTTAATTTAATGTATGTATTTCTATTCCTTGCAACCAAAAGAGTCTTGAGAATAAGATGCAGAACACAAATTAGTATAATAGTCTAAAAAGATAACTAGTCAAAACAGAAAAGAAACCCTTGCAAGCTCTATCACACAAACCAAAGCCAAAAATTCAGGGAGCCTGTGCATAAAAGAAGCTTATCTGGCCTAACCTTTGGTCACAACATAGATTTTACAGGGCAGCCAATCTTTGGATTAAACAGGTCAATGTCATCACTCCATGCACAGCAGTATTGAATGCTTTCAAAGCTATGTATTTCCCTTGTCTATGAATCACCTATGTGGCAGGTGGGAAAGTCCTTTGTAACAGCTAAGAACATAGTTAAGAGTAGCTCATGTTCTAAAACTGAGTTAACGAAATATATACTAGAAACCTATGTTTCATGATTTCTATGCTCTTTGTAATTAATACTATTCAGAAACTGCCTGTAATCTGAAACACTGAGTCTCAAAAAGAAGAGAAAAAAGAATATTTTCCATGTGATCTATTAGTTCTTCTATCTTAAAAAAGCTACTACAAGGCCATGTACACAATTAATACAATGAACTTAAAAAGTAAATTCCAAAGCAATTTCACCAAGAACTATCATCTCTGTTATTGACCTTGAAACCTTTATATTTCAAGTAAAAACAAAACCAGATAAACTTACCATTTGGGTGCCAGATTTCTGTAATGAATTTCATTTTAGGAGGTCGGAGGGGATAATCTTTTGGAAAAGTGAGATGAGCCTTAAAAACACCACCTTCACTGAAAAAAAAACAAAAACAAGTTCTTGCCTATAAGTTCCTGCTTATAAGTATACAATCATTAAAACAAATATAAAACAAGAGTGTAGGCACTAAAAGTAAACATAGTGAATAATTCAAGGATTCAAAAGTAAACATAGTGAATAATTTGGATTCCCTACAGATAGTTTATTAAACTGGGTGTTTGAGGTAACTATCATACCTAAACTTTATTAAACTCTCAAGAGAGCTAGTAAAAGGAAAAAAGAAATGGTTTGGTAAAAGAGGCATCCAGATCAGATGATCAGTAGCTATGCTATGATCTTTCCATCATTTCCCAATGCACTTACAACAAAATTCAGAAAGTTTTACACTGCTTATAGGGCTCGAGTTGCCAATTTATCAACATTGATCTCAAACTATCGCTCTTTTTTCTGTTCTAGTCAGTCTTCTTTCAGTTCCTCAAACACACAAGTTCCTTGTCATCTCAAAGCTTATATGCATTTGTTGTTTCTTGTTTGGGAACTAATGTGTTATGTGTCAAATATTGGGAGTACAGCAGTGAATAGAATATAGTCTCTGAAGGAGTTTGTAGTCTACTGACTTTCCAGAACCGTGCTTATGAAAAGAACTTTCTGCAAAATTAAAGATGTTCTATACCTCTGTTTGTTCAATATAGAGTCACTAGCCACAAGTGGCTATTGGCTACCATACTGGACAGCCCAGTTATAAATCAATGCCATTTAACTGGGAATCATTCTTGAAGAAATGTCAATAAAACAATAAAATGATGTATATAATACCAACTAAAACCCAAAAGATCAAGTCGGCCTTAAAGGGCAAAAATGACCAAATTCCTTCCTTGGAACCCAGATGCTACATGTTTCCTCTGCTTGAAATACCCTTTTCATTTTTCTTCTGATCATCATTCACTCAGCTTTAACTGTTACCTAGACAAAAGATTTTCCCAATCTAGTCACTAGGTCCCCTCTATCACACTGACTTCTTTTAATTTACTGCAACAGCATTTTGCATATCTGATTCTCTTATTATTCAGTGTGTACACTCCATTAGAGCAGATCAATGAGAAATGGAATTCTTAGATCATAAAATAGTTTTGATTCATGAACAAATATACATTATATATTTAAACTAGATAAAATTCATTATCTAGTTATGCTAAGCATTGTTCTAAATAATTTTTTAAAAAAGAATAAAGCATCAGCAATCATTGTGAAGCTTACCATTCTAGAATTAGAAACAAAATATCTAGCAAAAAAAGAATACTAGTAATAAATACTATTTTAAAAAGCAAATATTTATAGAATAAGCCCATTTGTTTTTTAAACAAAAATGTAGACACATTTGTACACAAATAGAAAAATGTCTGGGAGTATATCATCAGTACATTATAATGGTTAACTCTATAGAGAGTATGATATGGGATTATTTTACTTTCCGATATGCACATTTCAATATAGCTTGAATTTTAAAGTACAAGCAAGTATTAACTTTTTTGTTCAAGAAAGCAAGATACAGATTAAGTTTTTTGTTTGTGGTACCCAGCGTGAACCCACAAAGCTACATCCCCAACCCTTTTTATTTTCAATTTTGAGACGGGGTCTGGCTAAGTTGCTTTGGCTACCCTTATAGGGGTGCATCACTGCAATGGAACTAAGTTCTAAAAAGATAAGTAAATCACTATTATCAAATACTTGTGTGGGCTGAGGATATAGCTCAGTGGTAGAGTGTTTGCCTTGCATGTACAAGGCCCTGGATTCCATCCCCAGCACCACCCAAAATTAAAATATACACATATACTTGTGAATACTTAGGAAAGGCAACTTGATTCAAAAATATATAAATTCAGTGACCTTGAAAATCAATTTTGATAAAAGCAACAGAAAAAGACCACAAAGCATTAAGGAAAGAATGGGATGGTATAGTACAAAGCATAATGAATGGGACAAATTGTACAAGAAATTTAAGAAAGAAGATGAAGAAAAAGTACAAACAAAGTACTTTCAAAGGGGGAAGACTAATTTGTTTGCAAGAAGACATGAATGTGTTGGCTAGAGATATTAGAAAAAGAACAATGAGAAATTAGCTATAAGTAGAAAGAAAACAAAGGTAGTAGAGTGCCTAACCATGAAAAAAGAACGAACATCTTTTCCTCTCCCACAGGAAGAAAAACAGATTTAGTACAGATATCCAGGAGTAAAAAGGATAATTATAGACTAAACGTCAATATATTCGTTTTTTTTCAAACCCACAAAGATACAACTGTGGTAAACAAAATTAAAAGTTATTAAAAGTATCAAAAGAACAACAAATTCTATGCCTGCCTAGAGCCTTACTCTGGGATAATTTACCAGGTTATCACCTGAAAGGAAAAAAAACATGAAGCCTTGAGGGGAACAGAGTCTGAAACAGCTGCTGTGGAATGTATATTACATTGACGAAATAGAAGTACTATCTCAGCTACCCCAACCTGCATTAATAAGTGCCAAACTGGTCTTAGGACATATTAATTACATGGACTAGTCTTCCAAATAGGCTGCAAAAGCAATTCAGTGAGTCACTTATCAAGTTCTTTTGTTAATAGAACAGAAAACATGTATTTTTATAAAATCTATGTATTTCTACTCACTAACCTATATAAACAAATATCACTGGATCATGATACAAAATATTATCTGAACATGGTTTAAAAAACAAGGTTGAAAAGCCACAAATACAGACAGACAGACACACACACACACACACACACACACACCCATGCACTTTATTTTACTAGTGAGGATATTCTGATACTCCTTGAGAAATATTAAGTTGGTTTTCCCAGATCACTTTAATTTTGATTGATCAGATGCCATCAAAAGGCTCCATAATGGCCTAATGGAATCCTCATTATGAAAAACTGCCTCAGGCGAGGCATGGTGGCCCAAACCCAGCATGAGGATTCCAAATACAAAGCCTTAAAGACACTATCTCAAAAAAATGAAAAGGGCTGGGGTTTATCTCAGTGGTGGAGTGCCCTTAGGAACAATCCTCAGTAATACCCCAAAATAAACAAAACAAAACAACAACAAACAAAAACATTGCCTTAATGCCTCTAAATTATAAATTATTTTCAAACTTTAAAATGTCAATGAAATTTACTTATTAAGACTGCCCTAATGATTTAACCCCATAATTTTCCCTTCTTCTAAAACACTGAGAAACAACTATGCTAGTTCTCATAATTTTTCTTCTCTCTGTGGATCCATCACCTTCTATTTTATCTGGGGAAATTCTACCTTCATTCATTCATTGCCTTGCCTGGTAGTACCCAATTTCTGGGTAAAACTTCTACTCAATAGTCAAGTGAGCAGAGAGGAACTCTAAACCCACAGGGTAATTACAGACTAAACATCAATATATTCATTTTTTCAAGCCCACAAAGATACAACTGTGTGGGGCTGGGGGTGTGGCTCAAGCGGTAGCGCGCTCGCCTGGCATGCGTGCGGCCTGGGTTCGATCCTCAGCACCACATACAAACAAAAAGATGTTGTGTCCGCCAATAACTAAAAAATAATAAATATTAAAATTCTCTCTCTCTCTCTCTCTCTCTCTCTCTTAAAAAAAAAGATTTATAAAAAAAAAGATACAACTGTGGTAAACAAAATTAAAAGTTATTAAAAGTATCAATAACCAGACCAGGTGGCACATGCCTGTAATCCCAGAACTCAGGTGGCTGGAGCAGGAGGATCCTGAGTTCAAACCCAGCCTCAGCAACTTATCGAGGCCCTGAGCAATTCAGGGAGTCCCTGTCTCTAATAAAAAAGAAAAAAAAAATTTAAAGGGTGGGGTGGGGATGCCAAGGGAAGTGGTTCAATGGTTAAGTGCCCCTGGGTTAAATCCCTCATACCAAAAATAAAGTATCAATGAATTCAAAATACCTTTACTTCTGTTACATAATTAAAGACTTTTTCCATCACAGATTCTAATAACATAATTACTAGTATGGGTCAAAAAGAGGTACGCAACCAACTGTTCCACAATTTTTAGAAAGTTTGAGAAACATAGGCCAAGTTTTGCCCGGAGGTTTTCCTTACTGTTACTGTTTTAAATTATAAAAACCCTACAAGAATTATACTGTATCATTATATCATACTTATTTTTTAATATGCTGTATGCTGCCTTCTGAAATTTTGCTCAATATTGTTCTTTCAATCTATGTCTCTATTAGTATCTGCCTTTTGTTCATTCATTTTACCTGACACATTCCACAATTTCTCCACTATTCTGATATTTGACTGCTTCTTCTCCCCCTGCTTCTGTTATAATGCAATATAACACATTCTAAGCATTTTTTTTCAATTTGTGTTTTTTAATCTAGACATGAAGATACCAGCTAAGGTCAAGTTTATATAATTATGCAAAGTAACACAACCAATAAAAATGATAGAGTGGAGCTGGGGTTGTGGCTCAGTGGTAGAGCGCTTGCCTAGCATGTGTGAGGCACTGGGTTCAATTCTGAGCACCATGTATAAATAAATGAATAAAATTAAGGTCCATCCATATATTTAAAAAAAAATGATAAAGAGAGTTATACCAAGGCAGTCTCCAAAGCCCATATTCTTAAGCCCATATTATCATGTTCAAAGCACATGATAAATGACATGATATTGCCATTGATCAGTTTCTAAGCGATGCAGACACTAGATTCATTACCTACAGAATTTGATTATAAAATATATGACTTCTGCCTTCAAGTCTCTAATAAGACTGTAAAAGAATTTTGTAAATATAACAGAATTTCGCAATTGTAAAAAAGAGTTTTAATAAGACCTCTATCATTAACTACATGTTTTCTATATTCAACCAAGGTTGGGGAAAATTATAAAACACATATAATCTTAAAGACTCCAACAAAATTTTTTCTACCAAAAAACAAAAAAACATACTCCTTAAATAGACCAACCAATGGTGATGAAAGAAAAAAAGAGTTAAATATAAAAGAGAGTATTCATTACTTACAACAAATTTTTAATTCTTTAGGGATATTTGCATCTGTCTTTTTTCTTTTAGTGATATCTGGGTCTCTTTTTTCTGTAAAAACCACTGCCACTTCTATCTGAAAATTTTATTTCTGTGGATGGAGGTGGCTATTCATATTACTTGATAATTAGTCTGAAAATAGGAGGTATCCCACACCATTTCTAGAATGTATACTTCACAGAAAGCTCAAAAATCTATTCTTGGATGGGGGGATATAGCTTAGTGATAAAGTGCTTACATGGACAGGGCCCTAGGTTCAATCCCTGAATGACCCCAAAAAAAAAAAAAAGAACAAAAGGAGGAAAAGGTGGAGAAAAAGAAGAAATGCATTCTTAACAGTACTAGAAAGATTCAATAATAAAAATTTAATGAAATATAACCTGAAGATGAGTATAAATGACCACATTCATGTTCATGTTAACTACCAGCCTCAAAGTAACACTTAATGTGCTAGCCGATTACATGGACTGTAAAGAATGTGGGTTGCCCTCTAGCTACTAAATGAAGGCTAATAATGCCATCACAAAATTTCACACTAGCTTTTATAAAAATTTTGGTACAGTTGTTTATTTTCTATGATCTAATTGTTAAATGGCGAGCTAATCATTTAGGTTTGGATAACACCTAAGCCTATGCAAACTTATTTTCAACCCCTCTAACCTCTTCATTCAACTGAAACAACAGTAAGAACAACACTAACTTCCTTACAGTTCAGCGAACACTTTTTAAGGACTCTATGAAGTACTAAATTCTCCATAGAATTTTTAAATGCCTATTTCTTCTACTCATTTTCCTTGTATCTTCGTTGCTACTTTCCTATGGCCTTTCAATGGAACTAAGCTAATTTCTCTCTTCCCCGAACAAAGGACTAAGAATCTCACAAAAACAATGTGTGATTATAAGAAGCTACCAGTGTCACATTATTAAGTACACACTCCAGAGGAGCTACCACAAATGCTTCTGCCATTCAAAACTCAAATCAACAGCCAATACTTTAATAAATGTTCGGTGAAGGCTAGAAATGGGTTTTATTAGTGGAAAAAAAATGGCCTATTAAGTAGAATGCTTATTAGAAAGTTGGAGATATACAATACATATATGGACCACTGTGGGAAGCCAATCTAACACGTGATTGGGCGACTCCCGTTAAGGGCTTGAGGCACTTTGGCAAAGTCCAAGTTTTCCCGACCCTTTCCTGATGAGAGAGCCCATCCGTGTGGGGGTGTGCATGACCACTGACCCCGGGGACCCAATCACTGACCCTGACCTTGGAGTGCAGTCCCCCCTCAACCTTCATTGGATGGAATTCTCCCCTGAATCTCTTGTTCCCCAATAAAACGCTGGTCCCCGGCGTGCTCGCTCTCTCTCTCCTGCTAGCCCTGAGTAATCTCTGCTGCCCTGCTGGGCAGTTTAGAGGAGCCAAACCAGAGAGGGGAGCCGTCTCAGACCTAGCAATAGAAATAAGGTAATTGAGTCTGTGTTTTTATTTCGATCTCTTCTAACTAACTTTATGCCTAGAACCTCATTAATGAAACCACTGCACAGGCCGCGTGGTAGAGACCACCTAATAATATGTGCAATAAGTTCATGATGCGCATGTGTATGAAAAATAAATGCAATGAGCTCATAGAGTTAAGGCTTGAGCCAGGATTCCTACCCAGTACTCTATACAGATATCAGTTTAAGAGAATTTCTCTCATTATCTTGTACCTACTATAATGTAACTAAATTTCCATCACTATAATGTTGCTATGTCTTCCCTAAAGGAAAAATAAAACAGCAGAAAAAAAAAAAACATTCACAGACATGGTTTTGTGCACAGAATTTGTTAAGAATCTGCTCTCTTGGGCTGGGGATGTGGCTCAAGCGGTAGTGCGCTCGCCTGGCATGCGTGCAGCCCAGGTTCAATCCTCAGCACCACATACAAACAAAGATGTTGTGTCTGCCGAAAAAACTAAAAAATAAATATTAAAATTCTCTCTCTCTTA